ACTGTTGTATGTCTAATTCTAGCTTTGGTTTCTTGCTCCATAAAATATTTTGTGTGATAGGTTGGCGAGTTTGATGCCATAACATAACCCAGCTTGGCGTTCGGGGAAATTTGAAGTTGGGGAAATTTATAAGGGAAATTTAGGGAAATTAAGGAAATTAAGCAACAGTTGAACGTAACGGCATTTTGTACTGGAATTTAAGTTAATTGACAATTGTAGACCACGCAAATTCTATACCCTAGCTCCTGTAACACTGGTTTATTTCATATAACACTACTTGCCATTGTGGGAACTGATTGTCATTCATTTAATTCTGCCTTGTTTATATAAAATCAGACATCAATTAAAATAATTTGATATTCCAATCTGAGAAGTGAAACTTTTTGCATCAGCTTCCAATTATTTTGTTTCTGATTTTGAATTATTGCCTCAGCGTCCTAAACTCATCATTTAGCGGACTTTCCTTCAAGTATCGTGGTGCACATAACACTGCCCCATGGTCTCCGCGATCAGTGCATTAGCAATATCAAAGTGCGGATAAATAATTATATGCACAACTGACAATCACGTATTTTATACGAAATCAACTATGAGGAATTGTTTTCAAATGTATGTGGTAATAATCCATTTAAAAAAATTGTTTACACACTTAACAACTGGCGTGTACATAGCTAGCATTTTTTGCATTCTCCAACACATTTATCGAGATTCTACTAAATTCAAAGTTTGAAAATGTGTGTCTTATCACTCATCCATTAGTTATTAAAAAAATATTGCGTACAAACTGTTCGACTGTATTCAGTAGATATGTGCAAATAATCAAAAACTAGTGTTTTTAAATTCTACTGAGGTTATTAATCGTTTGTTGTCCCTAGGAATGTAGTCGAGTCCAGCACAAGTAATCCTGAGCCAATTCAACTCACAAGCTGTGCAAATGAACTTTGAAAGAGTCATTCTTTTGTTAGTGTTCATCCACCGTTACTTGTGACTTGTTTTATGAGTGGAATTCTGATTAACTTGTGACTGACTCGACGACATATCTGGTTGTCAGCGATTTCATTTTCCTTGTAAATTGCTATAGCATATATAGAGATATTTCTAAATGCGGAAACATGTTCAGTTAGCAATCATTACAAATATTTTGGATCGCTTTGGAAAATTCACTGTTAATTCTTTGCTGCAACGACATTGATACCAAAAAAAACAAAGTGCGTAAATTAATTATGTAAAGTGATTGGTAAGTTCCAAAAGCGTAATCAAACAATTTGATTGTAAAACTGTTTCTAATAAATGGGCCAAGAAATACACAAGAAATAAAACCGAAAATGGTGCCTATCTGTGATTTTGTATTAGTTTTGAGTATTTAGTCATGGTTTGGGTTTGCTTTGAATTATCTTGGTTTGGGTTGGGGTGGGCTAGGTTTATTGGGTTAGGTTGGTTTTGTTGGGATTGTCTGGGCTTCTTCGTAGTTTGAAAACCATGACAAACGTTGATTGGGGCAGTGGACACGAAAGACAATGCTGTTGCAGATATAAGTTATCATTTAGTTTTAAACAGGATGAACATGAACATAACTGCCCTAAAACACGGCTGCATGCGCAACCCATAAATATTCCATCTCCAACATTAATTATTATAGCGCCACCGTGATAGTCAGCCGACTCTACCACGGTCGTGAGACTCATGCCGCATAACAAACCGAGATATCTTCCAATGTCACCTGTAGAAATAAAATGCATCATGTGTCAATGATGGGTCCCATACGAAAGTCAAATAATGCTTCTAATAGGAAGCTTGTGAAACTACACGCATGCAATTTCATTGCAGGCCTCAAAGCAAGTTTTGTTGATGCATTTAGATTTTTGTGGCTAGGACTAATCCAGGCCCGCTATCAATTCTATCACCAAGGCCCCCCTCAACAGTGGCGTAGCCAGGAATTTTTCAGTGGGGGGGGGGGGGGCCGCTGGGGGGCTGGAATATTTCATGGGGGCGTCATGTAGATCAATGATAATTTTTTTAGAAACTCAAAATCTCGGGGGGGCGACGGGGGGGGCAACAAGGTTTCATGGGGCGGGCTGTCTCCCCCCCCCCCCACGCCCCCCCCCCCCCCCCCCCCCCCGTGGCTACGCCACTGCCCCTAAAATGGCAAAAGTATTGTGATATAGCTTGAAAATCTGTCATGGGCCAGTTGGTTTGTACAGTAGCGTGCACAGTGGTTTCTCCATTGAAGGGGGCCTCATGAGCGTACAGTGATCACGTGCGCAGGTTAGTCTTAAGGTTTAGCCCATAATGGAAGACTTTGGAGACGTTGGTGGCAGCAAACACATCGGTCCTTTTTCAATAGTTTGCGTCATTTTGAACATGCGCACTTTAGCTTAAACATGACGGAAACAATTGAGAAGGACCGGTGTGTTTGCTGCCACCAACGTCTCAAAACTCTCCCATTATGCTTCCTGCCAGAATGCCAAGTCTTTATATTTTCGTATAATATATCTAACACATTTCGTATATAATATCTAGAGATTTAAGAGTTCTTAGAGACTCTACATCTCATTCATGTCAGTCACGTGTCAGCAAGTCAATCACATGCCATCAAGACTCAAGTCAAGTCACAAGCTCTTCAACTTTGACAACTGCGTGTTCTGCTTTTCTTTAAAGAAAATATCGGGAGACATCGTGCTGTAAGAAAAGAATATTTTCAATTTGAATATTTTTTTTATCAGAGAGGAGAGAACCGCTGATTCACCTCATATAAACAAATTAGACCTTGGCAAAGCAAACAAGTTTCAGATCTGGAATACGGAATGAGGGCGCTGTTTCGCCGCAATTGTTTAAGGTCATAAACGGACTTGAATAAGATCTTACTGACTTCAGCTTACACATTGCTACAGCAACAAGAAATGTACAATCTTTAAATTTTAGACTTAAATCAGTTGCTTTTACTGTTTCAGTAAATTTGATTTTTCTAGTGTTGGTACCTGGGAAACATGTAGTTTAAGTGGCTTAAGTCGCTCAAAACCAAGTTTGTTTTTGGTTTCATGCTTCAAATTTGCACAGTACAAATGTGTATACGTTTGTAGCACATAATGACCGGATATTTTGGCTTTAGAGTATATTAATCAGGGATAAAAACGTACGATCTTGTGATGAAGTCGAAATATTCTATCCGCCAGACAGGAACGAGGAAGAAATCGCGAATTGTCTTCAAAAAAAATACTACAAAGTACAAAAGGCTGTATTCTCTTCCAATACAAAACGACTAATAGGCGTCAAACAATTAGCTCCGAAATGCATGATATTTTCCATTTGGTGATTAATTTTATTACTATACGTTCGGTAAGTGCATTATCAAACAATGCATAACGAATACTTTTATTGCCCATTGCAAAACCATATTGTGAATAAGCACATTCGTCACTGTTTTGCAGAGATACGAGAATGGTAGATTGCATATTTATTTATTATTTATTTATTTATGTCGTGTTTTGGTTATTTCCAGTTGTGTTAACTTGCTGCTTTAAAATACCGTCTTTAACCATTCCAAATATTTGTCAACAAAAGCCTAATTCATTTGTTACTATTGATGTAAATGGCTGACTTTTAGCAATGACGCCCCGTTTTCACGAAGCGACGCTAACATAACTGTTCAAGGAACGCGTGCAAAGAGATATTACAAGGGGGAAAGAGTGTAGACGGTTAAATAAAAATACAATTTACTATGGCGTATATTAAATTTAGAAAGCTTTCAGTTGGCTAAGGCTACAGGCGACAGACAAATAGCTTTTCGTGCCCGACTTTCCACTCGTGTCCTAATTTACTCTTTCTACTCTCCTTCCCCACAGTTCTCCCAAGTCCCAACACTGGTCGATTCCTTTCAATTCGCGCTTGTGTGATTCCCAAGTGGTTGTTTTCCTGCAACATTTTCCTTTGGTAAAACAAATCCCATAAAATATACCATCTAGTTTTAAACATGTGCGGTGATACCAGGGGGAAGCACATCCACTGCCATGTAGTTTATGTGGGGGACGTTAATGGAGATGTACAAACCCCAAGTATTCAGTTACTTTTATCCACACCTATTTTTTACCGACCAAACCCCGAGGCTGATGGCCTATTATCTACACATTCTATTTTCAGCGTGTACTACGGCTAAGATATTGATACCCCAAGACATCATATACAGCGAGGAATGGGCGAACTATGGAAGACATATTGAGGGACAAATATTACAACCACTGGAGAACAATGCATCGTTATTGTGCGGGTTTTGAAGAGCGTCGGTTTGTTTAATGTATTCAAACAAATTGCAATAAAGTTTAATCTTATGCATTCATTAAGCAAAACCTGCAGCTCGGATTGCATTTACATTTCATTAAAGTTTACAATCAAAATTTACAGAGTAGATGCTGCCTTTTTCTGTGTAAAACTATTGAATTCCGTGGCTGACATGCTTAACAACGTTCAAGCAGATATACTGTCAGTGAGACCAGGAGTTCCACAGTTGCCATCATGTTGCTGGGAGTGTTGTTTCTTCTGTTCCTTACCAGCCAAGAGGTCAGTGGATTCTGGAAGAATGGGAGCCAGGATCCTACCTACTCACACTTGGTAAGAATTCTGGAGTCGAGTCCAACACATTGTATTCATCCAGTGATAGAGTGGGACCCCCCCCCCCCCCCCACCATTTCTTTTATTTGGCGGGGGGAGTGCTAATGGAGATGTCCCAACCCCAATTTATTGATAAACCTTTATTTACATGTTTTATGTTCATCTTGTAAATGTAATACTGCTATAAAATATTGATATCTCAAGATATCTTATACAGCGAGGAATGGGCGGACTATTGAGGGACAAATATTGTTACTACTGCAAAATAATGCATCGTTACTATTCATTAAGCCAAAAGATGCGGGTCATTATTGTTATTAAAAATTAAAATTACAAATTAACAAAACAGATGTTGCCTTCGTCTGTATATAATTATTATTTCCGCGGCTGATCAGCCACGTACAAGCATATTACTCCGGGCAGGACTAGGGTTCCTCAGTTGCCATCATGTTGATGGGAGTGTTGTTTCTTCTGTTCCTTACCAGCCAGGAGGTCAGTGGTTTCTGGAAGAATGGGAGCAAGGATCCTACCTACTCACACTTGGTAAGAATTCTAGGGTCGAGTCCAACACAAGCCCACCACAAGTCAAGTCAATCCCACCACAAGTTCTTTCACAATTCCAGCTACCGTTAAAACAACAGTGAATGAAGTACTGCTTCCGTCACATTACTTTGGATAGCATGTGACGTCACTAAAGATTCCCTGGTCAGGTTGACCTAGAATCTGGCTTCTTACTTTTCTGCGTCAAAATTGACCCTTTTGTGTCACACTATTCCGGACCGCTTTGCCGGAAACATTAGCAAAATAAAGAGGTTTTCTTTTACGACTGTGGGAGCTTTTTACTTTGATTCGTGAAATCGTCGATATTCTGAATTTAATACCAGTGAGGCAGTAGCTGCACTCTTGAAACAATATTGTCAAAAGACAAGGTAGTTTATAAAATTAATAAATTACACTCCTGAAATGATTGGAATTTTAGTCGCTATTGAAAACACACGCACATCGTCTAAACTTTCAAATGGATTTTCCTTGTCCGAAAACCTCTCATTTTATCCTTGTTCGAAATGCTTACCAGTGACGTATGAATAACACTTTGGAAAGCTGGGCCAGACTGTTCAATTCACAAGTGACAGTTGTACTCAGTCGGTCAGTCAGTTAGTCATTGAGGCAAGGCTCGTCTCTGGGTACAGCAAAATGTCTGTGACTTACCCACAATCTTTTGTAAAGTGGGAAAACGTAGGATCTACGCCTCATTGCAATAACACTATCTTCGTATTTATTTCTGAACAAACAGGGTTTCTATCAGAAGAACCTGACATGCGACGACGCCGGAACCACGTGCCAGCTTTGCTACACTGCGCATGGTCATGACGGAAAAGCTTATTTACGTATGTTTTATTTTATTATACATTTACGCAGGCTTACATTTTTGCCAGATACAAAAAATCCCCAGATACAAACATTAATGCCACTTTGAATCCATAAGGAAAATCACACGCAGAACATGTGAAAATAAACAATTTAATGTGAAAGCATATCCAAAGAAATGAACAATCAAGTAGAACGGTAGACAGAGCATATCAATTACTGGAAGACAATACAATAATTATCTGATTTTGACGAAGAATTTAATCTGGTACATACCTGTTTTGGGGTGTTACACCTGGAACAATAGATATTTCAAATTGAATCGACATTTTTCTAGCTTTACAATAGTAATGAGCTTTCAAATGAGACGTCGAACGAAAAAAAGAATCCACAACAAGTATTCAATTGTGTTAACTTTTGAATTAGGAGCGTCCCGCCATGCGCGTCGGCAAAATGAAAAAGTTTTTTTTTTCAATGAAAGATGATGTCTCAAAACCGCCAAACTCACTGGTTGGACACGAATCCTGCTGGTTGGACAATATTAACGTGTTTTTAGATTGGGTTATGGTCGAGAATAAGCTTTATGTGGCCTCTCTGAACTCCCATATATTTGCACATAAGTTTAATCGGGCACCATTTGCAGTCATCAGCCGACATTTGAAGCAAAATAATCAGGTAAATAAAAAAAAAAGCCGCGTCGCCGCACCACTTTTTGGGAAAGCTCCATACCAGAAACCGGAGACTTTTTTTGGGCCTAAAGTAAAAACGAGTTTGTTTCTGCAGTCAATAGGGAACGCTGAACAATAGAGGACAATAGGGTACACAATTCCCGAAGGTCCACAATTGACGATCGTGTGCAAACCATTATTATGTGATGTCTTCCTACAAACAAAAGAGGGACAAAAGGGGTTTCAAGATTGCAGGTAAATACACACCTGTGTGTGGATGTATACACAGTACGTATACACAGTGTCGTACCGGTGTGGAAGGTAATTCTGTCCACGGTAAAACTGTCCGGGGGAAAAGAATTACCTAGGTAAAAGTGTCCTCCCTGGCCCGTTAATTCTGCCCCCCTCCAGGCAATTCTGTCCCCCTCTTTTGAAACCCGGAAAGCCAGATCTCTTAATTGTTTTTATGAATTCACTCTATACAAGGTATACATTTTGGACTATTAGTCTGCCCTTCATGAATATAATTTTTTTTTTTTATTTGGTCTATTACTATTAGATGATATGTGAACAAAATGTTTCGATTTGGAGTACGGTGAAATCTATCGCGATTCTACCGCGATAGCTCAATACAGCGGCGATGCATGGCGATGGCCCTCGTCTCATTCATACAACGCCTACTTGGATTGGTCTGTGTTCCCATCATAGCGCGTAACGAAATTTCCTATTGGATGAATTCCACTTGTAGAGGGAGACGCATATGTACATGTACACATGTGATAACCACTGCCACATATCTCGCGGCTTGTACTGGCTCGCACGCAACACTCATGCTGCTCTCAGTATATACTGCATGGGGACACATTTACCAGGGGGACACTTTCAGCGTTGGGCAGGGGGACATTTTTACCTGGAGGGGGACAAATCGACCTAGGTAAAAGTGTCCCCCGGACACATTTACCGGGTCACGAGCCGGTAAATGCGTCCGGGGGACACATTTATCAGGGGGGACAGAATTACCTGTCACACCGGCGTAAAACAAGACTTGAAAACCACAGGTTTGCGATCGAGTGAGAGGAAAACATGCATAAGTAGCAGAGATTCTGATAGAACGTATAGTAGGAGTGTGGTGCAGCCAGGTCGGCCTGACTGCGCGTTCTACTATGATCGCAAAGCAGTGTCGCGAGCCGGCCCGGCGATCATCTTGTAGTACCAGGCGCCGGACTACAAAACGTGTGATTCCAAAATTAACATACATAATGTATGAGCTGATACGTCACTACATATGAATGTTTATAGCATCATTCGCTCAAATCTTTTCGAACTAGAGCACTCCTTTTCAAACCACTTTTTAAAACTGTAAATGGCCTGCAAAAACGAACAAGCGAATGCATTTTGTTACAGACCATTATCTTCCTTTAAATCTCGTTCGGAAAAGAAACTTACAATTTTGAAAAAAGGAACGTATGTAGGCCTACCCATTCATTCGCACAAAACAAGTACGACCTTTGCATTTTACAAAAATGCAAAAAAATTATGTATGAGTTTATGGATATAAATGCAGGTGTTTAATATTTCACATCAATTACAATAAGTGTCTGTGGCCTGTAAGTATTACGCAATCAGAGGATACGTTTATGTAGGCTATGTACAGATTACCTTTGGAATTTGGAATTTGTTGTAGTTAGATAACTTCCGTTCTGAGCCTAGACTGTGGAAGTTTTCACTTTGATAAAAGTGTTTTTCCGCAATTACGTTTGAATTGATGATAAACGGTAACCAATTAGCTCAATCAGTGCTCATTAAAATATATAGAAATATATTTGAATTAAATAGTCATATTGTAATGAAAATAACAAAACTAACCTTTTTTTAATTCGTTGAATTCGGTATACTTCAAATTGTTTGAAAAAAAAAAGGATTTTGGTCAAATGTATTTGTAGACGGGATCCAATATACGACCGAACCCTACAAGTTGGAATTCACCAGCTTAGCCGGACGTTATGACAACAAATACTCCATCATTCAAGGTGAGTGACAATATCAAAAACAAACAAACAAACAAACAAACAAACAGCTCCCACAAACAACCCAGCTTTAATACCAACAAAATCACCCACAAAACAAACAAAAAGCACGAAGCGCCGGCGTATCAGATTTTAAGATTGTGTTCAACTAGTTGATTTAATTGTATTTCATAGGTTAACTGCAAAGAGCAAGATTTGCAAACGAACGAACATATACCGAATGATTAATAAGATGAAATATTTATATTTTGCAGCTGCGCTTAGGAAAATATATTATGTTTTACCATAAACGGCTATTCAGTGCGCTTGTCTTATATACACGAAACGTCTTAAAAACCATTAAGTAATATAAACAAAGCATCCAATGGCCTCGAATTGAAACCGTGTGTGACTTCTTTAAGGGAGTTTTGAATCACACACAATTCCAAGATATACCGGTGAAGTAGTTTCAATCAATCTTGAATGGAAAACTGTGACCCAGGGCTCTTGTTCAATATTTGTTTCATTTCTCATTTTTTTTTTCAACACAGGTGTCAAAAGAAACACTAAGCAAATCTCACCCATGGATATTTTTATAATTATCAAAGATGCCATAGTTTGTGAAATGTTAGGGGCAGAACATGGGTTGTCTAATGCGCATCAAAATAAGTAGTCTGAGTATTACCCGTTATCTACGGAGCCCAGTCTCCTGTCTAACGTCTGATATATCTAAGCATGCGTGACGTCATTTCATTCCAAAATCAGGGCTAAGATTGTGATTGGTCATTTTTGATGCCACGTTTTGTAATACAACAACCATGTAAAAAAAAGGTAATCATCGTGGGCGTGATGGTTACGCACGCGGGGAGCTCGAATTACGCGCCTGCTGATTGGTCAGTTTCTCGAGGTCATACGCAGTCTATAGTTGCATAGACCATGGTCGGCTTTGCCTAGTATGAGAATCACCCGTTATCCACGGAGCCAAGTCCTGTATCAGGTCTGAATTGTCCAGACATACAGATATATGCAAGCCGCACGCCAGTTTATCGGAGTCGACTTTACTAAATTGTGATGTCATTTCATTCCCAAATCAGGACTAAATGGTTTGATTAATTAGTTAATTCCATGCAGTGTTTTGTAAAACAACAACAGCCGGAGCATATCGCGTATAACATGATACAGAGCGCATGACACAGGTTTTTTATCCATTGTCTATGACGCGCAACGAGTGAATGACCAAAGACCCGATATATATCAAAATCAAACAGGTCAAGAGGCGGGGTTTTACCAAACTAATCAGCGAATCTGCTCACATATCATAGACCATGGCTTTCTATTACACAGACTAGGCTTTGCTAGTGCCAGGATCTATAGAGTACGAAGTGAGTACATCACGCGCACAATTATGTGTGTAAAAGACATTAGCGCATGTCCGTGCTGAATCAGGCGCGCGTACTCAATACCTTTGCGCTAAACTTTCTGGTTCTAAATGACCTCACAATTCGGTACTCTATTACATACACCAGCAAATAAGGGGCATTCCTGAGAAAAGGTTTAGTAGAAGATGTTTTCTTCCCCTAAAATTTAATGTTGTTTTTGGTCTTGTTGCGATTTGCAGACGATCCGAACCAGACATTCCGACTGTGCTCGGAGCTCCAAATGGAGTATTCTCCCATGAGAGACAGGAAGCTTGTCATATGCCTGGATACTCGCTTCCCTTCCGGTGTAGTTGTGCCAGAGACCTGTGCCTCACCCATCGCTGTGACTTCACTGCACGTTAACTATGGAGACACGGAGATGAGGGGCCAACAGGTGTTAGTGTGTAAACCTTAACCATCAGTGGCGGCACTGAAGGAGAGTGGAGTTTCCACAATACCCCAACCAACCCAGCATGGTTTTCGATTTCCTTTATTTCTTACTTTCAATTGTTTATCAACCTTATTCTATTTTTCGTCTCTTTATTTTTTTTAAACTATGTTTTATTTAAACGCAAAAAAGCTACTTTGTTCTATTTTTTTATAATGCAACCCTCTGAAAATACATTTGTATTTATTGGCTGCTTTTGCGCCAATAACGCACAAAGGATATGCCTCAATAATTATCGGTCCATAAATGAATCAAAATGTGAATTGTGAATATTCCATAACTGGACGTTGTATACTTGTTCGATGAGTAAGTCAAAAGTAAATAAATGTTGTTCTATTTTAAGAAAACAAGCAGTTTGAAAATAAATATCTGAGTTGGTGTGGGTAAAACTCGTAAATAGTACAGGGAGCAACTTGAAGCTATTCCCAAGCACAAAAGCAAAGCAAAACAAACACTCAAGCTCTCTACGTGTAGTCTACAATCGTGGACCATTGTTGTTGTTTTCCAAACGTTCGGGACAACTGTAAGCCATTTCACGATATGAAGGAATAAGGTATTCATTAAAATACAAATGTAAGTAAAAGTACTTCAAATTTCGCTTTAAATTTACATAAAGGGTTCTTACTGTGACAATTTGGGTAACGTCGTATTTGTTTTAATTGAATATTAGCAAATTGTTGCACTCTGTTTAGAATTTGTCGGTGTATTTGAACCTCCGATTACCACAATTTGAAATTTAAATTGAGTAGTAAAGTGATGCAATGTATTGGTATCCTGAGGTTTTACTTGATGTTTGAATTATATGGTGAGAATTTGGTTAAGAATGGTAAAACAAAATTGTTTGAGTTTGTAAATTATATGCTTGGTCAGTTGAGCACTTGTTGGCTTCCTTCCATTCTTCTGTTACTAATCAATTTCATTATTTTTTATTTATTTTACTGGCATATATGATCACTTTCTGTTTATACATTTTGTTAGTTTCCAATAATGTAGTGGATACAAGGGCGCCCTCACTTGACGGGATTGTTTGCGCGCTTTAGAATAACAAGCACATTTTCCATGTACCTTTTCACAACTACTGGTCTCACTTTCATCAGTCTTGTCTTGTATTTGAACCGGGCAGTTTGGAGAAAGACCTACTGTAGTATTATCTTTGAATACCCTGGAGTGGGTGAGTTGAGACACAAATTATAAGTCATTTGTTTTATGTGATTTTCGACTCGTTTTACCTCGTCGAAATGTATATTAACTTTGCATAATGCGTGTGTACGTCTGTACGTTGTATTTCGTTTAGTGTGTGTAGTGCTATATGCACAGTTACAGGCACTGAAGTAGACTATGGCGTACGTGGTGCACATGTAGTGTATGCACATGTGCAGTAAGCCCCATAAATGTGGCCAATTTACTGGACCACCTCCGTAAACATAGGCCACACATCCGCCATTACTAAACCTACTCGCACAAGTTTGCAAAGTTATTTCCACATTGCGACTTCAGACCCAGTTCATTTATGCTTTAAAATACACTCACCCTCTTAATAACAAAGTTTGAACCTGCTTCCAGTGTCAGTTGCCCAGCTGCTGCGTAATTAATGGACCGATCCAGTAAGCCCCTCCCACTGCACACGTGGGCAAATTAACACGTGCTCCTCTCCAATGCCACACTGCATTTTCCTGCCGCGCGCATCATACGCGCGTGCACGCATATCGACTTTTGTGCACGCATGTCGGACATAAATCACGGCTGTGATTGGTCAGAATACCATGGGGCGGTGCTTACTGGATCGGTCCATTATACGATTATTTCTGGAGGCTTCTTGGCAACTTTTTGATCCAACTGAACAATAACCTTGCGCAATACCTGACGGGATATGAACCAATATGCAGGGATCGTTCACCTGTCATCACACATGCACGAGGCACGCCGCAGGCCCGGTGGTAGTCTGGTTCCCAGACCAAAAGATTCTGACTATTCCTGATTAGGCCGTGTCCGAAACGGGCTTCAGAGCTACGGCTACGTCTATTGTCAGCGCGTTCTCACGTATTTTCAATGGGCATGGACCTAGACCTAGCTCTAGACAGTTGATTCGGAATTTCAGATGTAGCCTTATTTAGACGTGAGCATCGGAAATAATTGTCAGGCCTGAGCAGCACCTTTCGCGTATACGGTCCTTTCAGTTAAGGAGAATACACGAGCAAGTGTGGATTCGTAATTAAAGAATTCACGAGGCGTAAAGCACCGAGTGAATTTGAAAATTAAAAATCCACACCTGTAGTCTGCGGGCTAGGGGGGTCCCAGTGCACCCCCCCCCCCAACCCACCGCCACCGATATTTTTGGCATCGATCCTTGGCATGTCCCCAGTGGGAAAAAAGATGTTAACAGTGAAAATTTAGGGATGCTCTCTCTCAAGAGGTCAATTATTGGAATTTCCTATGATTGAGCATAGAAGGCATTTTCTTAGCACTACGGTTGGAAGGGGAAGAAACAAAATGCCATAACCTGAGCAGACCTTGACCGATCTTCATCAAACTCAGCACACTTATTTTTCATGAATAGGTCTTTCAAAAAATATCATTGGTTGCCATGGAAATTAACTATAGAGGGCGCTACAGTCAGACGAAATATATATACATGTTTATTTTGGAAATTTTCCGAAAAGTTGCTTATCATTAACATTACAGCTTACTTTTCGTCTTGAAAGCCACCAAATCATAAAACAGAAGTTACTTTATGATTGTCCAACCTCTGATAAGCTAATTTGAGAGTTAGGTCTTGGCAAATCGAAAATGATATACATTTTTAATAAGTTAAACAACGTCCTGTTGAATCTAGGTTCTGGTATTCTTAGCCTTTGGGTTGGTAGGTGTCAGTTCAATCTTCCAGATTCATGCATATACCTTTTCCAATCTAGGTTAAGCTTGACATGGCATATGTTCATATATTTATCTTCCTAAAAATACCTTGAATCGTCATAGAAACCATTCACAGAGCCTGACTCTATACCCAGATAAATATAATAATATATACATTTTGTGAGTTTTTAGTCTAAGACCAAAAAAAATACTCGGTCTCTGGTCAGACCAAAGTTCCGGAATTGATGCAGCGACGCGGCTTTTAATTTTTTTTGTTTTTTTTGGCTTTTTTTTCCCAAGCTTTGATTGTACAGACAAGGTGGGGTACTATTTTGCTTTTTTGGTGTCCTCATGTACATTGGTGTCCTGCAGAATATGCCTTAGTGCCCTCAATCATTTGCCTTGGTGCAATTTCCCATTCCTTAATGCTCTTTGGTAAAAAAAAAAAAATTAGGAGATTCGGCAATAGAGGGCGCTGTTAGAGCTACCGCGGAACATTTTGGAAGAAAACAAAAAGATTGACGCGCATGGTTAAAATCAACGCGCGCGCTGACCAGAGACCGACTATTTTTTTTTGTTGAAGTGGCAGTTAAATAAAAAGAAAATCAAAAATAGCAACATGGATGTGATCCATTCTAGCCTGTTGGATCCATACTTGTAAACACAAATGGGGTAAAATATTGAAATTACTTAATTCATGGAAGATTTTGTCATCGCATATTATTATATTTATCTGGGTATAGATAGAGTCTGGAAGATTGAAAATTTTCGAAATAAACATGTATATATATTTCGTATGACCGCATCCCTCAATTTTCACTGTTAACATCTTTTTTCCTAGGACATGCCAAGGATCAAAAATATATCGTTGGCAGTGGATTCTGGGAGGGGGATGCACTGCGACCGTATTCTTCGACTGGAACCATTGCGTCAAAAGAAGTATTGGCATTAACAGTGAGTGGAGATGAAAAGACTTGGGGAAAAATGTTGCAACGCCACTTCCACGATTGTGTACAAAGTCTGTGGAATGTCAAGAAAATTTTCTAAGCTTTTCCTAACAAAATTGGAAATATTTCTCAGTCCCAGATTCATGTCTTATCATCATTTTTGCAATGAATGACCTTCATTGGGATGATATATGAAGAAAAAAGTGGCGTCAGGTTGCAACATTTTTACTTTCTGACTCGAGGTAGGTTTTGCAGTGACGGCGGAGAATCTGACAATGAAGATGCATTGGTAATTTCGGAAGGAAAGTTTTCACGCATACGGTCCTATTAATGCTCATTATGGAGAACAATTGTCTGACATATTCAAAGTGTGGATTCGTAATTCCGAATCCACACTTTACTAAAGATCGTCGTTCCGAATCCACACTTTTAACAATGGTGTGACATCATAGTAATGGTTTAAGATTCGTTTACAAGACTTCTTTTTCGAAGAAGAAAAGGAACACTCAAGGAAATCATAATTAATAGAAGTTGAGTTGAAAGAGTAATCAGAGTGCGAGTGAAATGATTTTTTTTTCTCCGTTTTTTCTTAACTTAAAATACAAAAGACTGTCCACTGAAGGTATGGAAGGTAAGTCTGAGCGTGTAAACACCGGCAATCATCGACTTAGGACAAAAGGGTCAGGGCACAAACAATACGACGTCCACGATTGACCGATAGTCCAAGATTGAAATTCCTGTACAAAACCAATGAGAGTACAAACAAAGGAATGAGGGCTGCACGATTGCTAGTGTTTAGACATGTGTGCATGGGTTTATGTGTGGGTGAACTTGGAAGTTGACTAAACTCTCAACGTTTCAAAAGTCAAGTAGATCCCGCGCTGTCTATCTATACAGTTGAAGGGTAAACACTTCAACAAGATAATGCTATCAATAAATTACTGACTCTGCTATGGGTCACTGTGGCGTGATCTGCCTCGTGTTGGGTAAGGCCTAGGTGGAGAATCGTTTTTAATAACTGATTGGATCAGAAGAGCTTTGTCGTATTCACTGAACAAAACAACTTATGTATGGCAACACTCCTGTTTTCCCACTATTTGAAATAATAGTTTCACAATTGATTGGTTAGGTATTTGTAGATAATGTGTACATAAGGCGTAAGAGTAAAAATAAAGTTGTTAAAGTTATTTCGAGGTTCATGTTCATGTGCAGCAGAAGAGTTTTACGTTTCGCGCTTCGTCTTGGTGTACTTACTGGGATATCACAGGATTTTGCATAAAGACAGCAAACAACCTTTTCAAGGTAAGATA